CTCAGGTATGCCTAGAAGGACGTCCGACAGTGCGTCAACCATCGCCGTCATATCCAACGCCTGCAGTAATTAAGGATGAGTTAGTTGAATGGTATACAAATTTAAAATTGATAAAAATAAGTTAATCAAATACAATTACATATTCCCTGATCACGTCAAAGGATGGATGGTAATGTGCGGATGGCGGTGTGTAGCTGGGGTTGATGAAACGCCGTGTAATCCGCATGTACCACTCCATGTATGGATCGTATGGGTCCATAACGCCGTGGATGGGGTCACCAGTGACGACGAACTCCAACCGTCGATGCCACAAGTCAATGTACTGGGCATGCTCCGTCCGCCAGTTCCTGTCGCTCTTTCCCCGACGGTCAATGCGGTGAAGCCGGGCACTAGTGTCACACTGCTGGGGGACAGTCTGTCGTAGTCCAAACTATCGCATGACTCGATCTGGTAGGTGACCCTCGACGACCTCAAAACAGATCAGGGGGACCCTAGAACGCCACTGCGCCTGATGATCTAGCAGATGTGGAGGCATGACAGCAACTAAATCAGCTTCATACGGGTCCCATGTCATCTGCGATAACACATAAAAAGTAACATAATAAACAGGTTAGTGCATATTAAATATGTTAAGAGTATACATAATAAATAACAATTTCATAAACAAATTAAAGATTTCACCTGATCCTCGGTCAGTCGATCAAGGGCGTCTCGGTAGTACGGCAGGACCCTCGCCGCATGCGCATATGTCAGCTTGGGGACCGCCCATGTGCAAGCGTACGCCTCGTCAGCGGAAGGCCGTGGTGGAGGAATGTACCGCTCATACTGCTGGTCCTGATCCTGCTGCCCCTGACGATGTATAGCAGGCCTACCTAGCCTGCCTACATGGATGTGCTCCCAAGACCAATACTGGACATCAAACACACAAAACTAGGTTAATTGTAAACTAAGTAAGAACTTTTCGAATTAAATTGTTAACAGATAGGTAGGTTACCTGAAGCAAAAATAACGGTCCGCTGATCTCACGAGAACCCCGGCGGGATGCTCTACACAGATGGCGATACAACATCGCCACACAAGCACTGCCCCAACTGTAGCCACGAATATGCTCCTAGTCGTGGTCTACCAGCTGTAGGTAAATGATCTGTAAATGGCTGCCACTCTTGCCACCGAACAACACACCCGAGATGAGCAGAAAAAGGTACGCTCGAGCATGTCTCGCAATAGTGGCCTCATCAGCACCATCAGGAAACACACGAAAAGTGTCGCGTATCCAGCCGGTCCTCAATCCGCCGCCCCTGATATCGTCCGGTCCTGGCTGAACCCCGAGAACCTGAGCTACATAACCGGGGGGATCGGCCAACGCAGATCCAGACACTGGACTCCCATAAATGGGAAGCCGTGTGAGTATCGCCACGTCTCGCAACGTCACGGTCGCCTCCCCAACAGGTAGATGGAAGGAGTGTGTCTCCTGCCTCCATCTCTCCACAAGCGCAGTAACAAGCGCTGGGTCGACCTCTCTGAACGCCATCCGATGTATACCCATGAAGCCAACGTACTCCACGAAAGGCAGAATGCGGGGATCGATAACCCAATCGCCAAGGAACGCGACAGTGTAGTGCCTGCATGTCAGTATGCCCGCCGGATCAACCGACTGACTCCAAATGTCAACGCTACGATGTGTGTCCTGTAGTGTAAGGACAGAAGGGTCGGTGGGTCCGGGTGTCCTATCCCGGGTGTCCATGGTATCTGTTCATAAACAGTTATAATCCAACAATTAAAAAGTAAAAATTACATATAAGCGATAACAAAATACAGAATTTCAAATCTCATACTTCAATCTAAAAATCCAACTGTTACAATCATTTGAAATGTAGAAATACAATCACCGTACTATTCTACTACATCACTCTAGATAACAGAAAAAATAAAAAATTAGTGCCCGGTCGATCTAGAGGGACACGATCTCTTGTTGTGACCCTGCTGGTGACAGAGGCTGCATTTGCTCGCGGGACGGTTGGTCTCATCCATTTCATTGCGTATGCGCCTTGACTTAGGGCGACCTTGTCCTCGTACCATGCTATTGTCGGGAATGAGTTTAGGCCCTCCATTCTCTCTCCATGTCGTCTCACAAGGGATAGGCCAGAATTGGGGAGCGTATGTGTTTGTGTAGGCCTCTGATTGCAGTACCCGGTCCACCCATGGCCGCTATGATATCGAATACTTCACACAAACTGCTAGAACATGAGAACATGGGAGGTGGAAGATCCGTGGTTTATTGCATGTGCACGTTCTTAACTGAAAGTTAACAGTATGTCTATGGCCTCCTTTTCTACCAATTCTATCTCCCCTCTTTGTTTCAACTTGATATATATGCAGTCGACGGTTATACGCTTCCACTTTGTGATATCTAGCCTTTGCAATATTTTTCTCCATAATGGAAGTGACTTTGGGGGAGTATGCAAGTCCCTGTTCAAATCTAGCCTGAGATAATTCCCTTCTATCAGTGAAATACTTATTGACTCTGTGGAATGTTAATTCAACAAGGGACATGATAGGTAGAAATCGAGCACCCTTCAACACATTGTTAAATGTTTCTGAGAAGTTCGTAGTACGTACATATCCCATATCTGCGACCAGCATCGTGAAACAAAGACCACATACTCGTTCAAACACTTCCATGTTGCTGTAATAAACACCGTCTACCAGAGCTTTGTGTTTCCATACAACAACGGTTCCCGGGTTTGACTGTTTTAGTGCTTCCATGATGTGCGGAAGTCGGCCATAAGAACTCTCCCAATCTCCAAATACTTCAGCTATGGCTTTCTCCCTAGCATACCATGCTCTTCGATAAGTAACGTCGAACTGAAAATGCTTGGATATGAGTTCCTATATAAATTCAACTTTCAAGCATGGATCTTTCTGCACAAAAGACTTCACAAAATCGGAAATTATGGATGAATCCAAGTGTGCATGATCTGTAGATAACACTTCAGTGACACAGGTGTCCCGGTGCAGGCCTTTGTATGTGACTATGGTAAAGCCGTCTGAGTGCTCACTTTTTTTGGTGCCTCGTAGCGACCAACCACAATTCTTCTTGCACCGCAGATGAAGGACCTTCTCATTCGAGGTCACTATGGTGTAGAATTGGTTCCTTTGTATAGAATACTTCTTCACCATTTCCTGAAGCAGTTTCTTAGATTCAAAGAACATACCCTTCTCAAACTCCCCCCCGATCACAAATGTTGTATGACTACCTGATTCGGCCCAATATTGATCAACCTCATAATTCTCATTTACTTGACTTAACCAAGGAATAGGAGTTCTAACCATGGCCTCCCCACCTTCCATGTCTGTAGAATCAACATCCATGTTATCCAGAATTGGTTCCTCCTCTTCGCTCTCAGCCTCATCATTTGTTTCCCGGAGCGCATCATACAGAGACAACTCGTTATTCACCATATGTTGTAGATTTTCAAGATGATTCACCAATGGTTGAGACGGTGATGTATGATCATCATGCTGCGTAGGTGAATAACTTTGGAGTTGCATGGGAGAAGATATAACTGTGTTCGATGTCGAAGGCCCAGATTGGCCAAACATTGTCGTAGATGTTCCACCATATACGGGTGAAGCTATATGTGAACTCAACGACATCTGGAACCGATCGTCATGAAGCAGTCTGCTGAAGGACCCCATCCCATATTCAGTTGATGGAATGTCTTGTGAGGGCATTAGGAAGGACTCTGTGTAACCGGAAAAATAAGTAGTTTGTTGATCTGGTCGAGTACTTTGTTGCGTACACGTAGACACTATTTCTACATATATCTCATGTGGATAACCCCTCATTAAAACAGCGCTCCTCAAAGCTTTCAAATGTCTATCGTTAGAACAAGGTAACACTTGAACTGCATTATTAGTCTCAAACCTCATTTGAATGTTAAGTTGTCCATTCATTCGGTTTAAGCCAATAATGCTATGAACCTCGTTCATCAGATCGTTGAAAGTCATGTCTGGTCCAAGTGGCAATGGTTCCATATTTCCACCACTATACTGGACATTCGGTCCATCAGACACAAATTCACCCCCCATCGGCATAACAAAGCTGCGTTTTGTGCAGCCATATTCTATACAACAACCAAAAACACATCTTAATTGAATGCAATCTCCACCAATTCGCACAATAACAACCAAGAAATTCACACTACAAACATAATTAAACATCATTGTTCCAATTCACATAACAACCAAAACAAAGTACACAACGAACATATTCACACTAACAACCAACGTATTCTACATAACATAATTTTCGTAATTAAACGACAATGTAGGCTATTTTATCAAATTAAAACAACAATTTCATCAACAATATCAACAATTTCATCAACATTTTCAACATTTTTACCAAACATTTCCACAATTTCATCATAAACTTTCTTACTAAACTAACATCAATTTAGGGCTTTTATACTAAAGTATTATCAAATTACTACAAACTAACTTAGAATTATCAACATAATTATCAATTTACATCAAACTAACTTAGAATAATCAACAACATTATCAAATTAAAACAATGTACTATATAATTATCAAACTAACCTAGGTTTTATAATTTTAAAAACAAAGAGAAGTACCAACAATGTCATTAAATGAAGAGGAGAGTTTGAGAGAGAGTACCGACAAGGCGGCGACGGCGGCGGCAGCAGCACACTTTTCGGTGGCGGGGAGGCCTAGTACAACGACGGAATATCCGTTTTAGAGAGTTTGAGCAAGTTTGAGAGAGTTTGAAGTAAAGTGAATAATGTGATGTCGCGGTTTTCTGTGGCAATATACCAGCGAAAACCGCTGACTGAGGCAGCGTCTTTCCCTTGTTAATGAAACGCTGCCTCAGGCAGCGTTTTAGGACCTACCTAAAAACGCTGCCTCAGTCAGCGTTTCATTGTATTTCATGTTTTTTTAATTTGGCATTTTAAAATACGAAATTTAAAAAAAAAAAAATAAAAGGAATAAAACGCTGACCGAGTCAGCGTTTTACCTCTGAAACTTAGTTTCGTAAATAGTTTTGCCACGCGTCTATTTTCGTAAATTGTTTTTCAATTAGGCCCAGTTTCGTAAAAAATCCCACTAAACAATACGATGATACCCATGTTAAAAAAAAAAAAAAAAAAAAGGTATGAATTTGCACAGTTCTCATACTTTGCATAAGCAGTACCCTCGTAAAATTGAAGCGAAGGGGAAAAAAATGGCAAAAAGAGCTTCAAAATCTACTACTTCAAATTCAATCAATGGTGAAACAACTAATACAACGCCTAAAAGGTATTTCTCCTTCACTTATTGGTCCCCTCATTCTCAGCTGCTTAACAATACTCCATTAAGCAATTATTAATTTATTATACTTCATGTTAATTGGTTTTCTATTTTTTTTTTGTTATTTTAGAAAAATTACATTCAGGATACCATTATCACAAAATTCCTTGAGAAAATCGAGGGATGAAGAGGAAGGTGAGAAAGAAGCAAGATCCAGTTCATCAAAGAGGTCAAAATCGTCTTTAAAGAAGAAAAAAGTTGATCCCAATAAACCCAAGAAGCCACCTACTGCATTTTTCTTCTTGTAAATTCCTATCCTTTTTTCTCTGTTAATTTTTTTCATTTCTACTTGTGTTTATTATATGTGTTTTTAACTCTGTATAAATTATTTTGGGGTTATTTTAAGTTGTGTATGAGTTTTTTGGTATGAAGGTTTGTGAGTGAAATTAGGCCAAACCATGGAAAATTTGACATATATATGGAATTTGGTAATTAACTAAGGAATTTTATTGTGCCTGTGTTGTTTGTTTATAAACTCTAATGTGCTAATTATTGTATTTTAGATGGTAAGTAACGTAACGTGTTAATGATAAATTTTGTAGTGTAAGCTAAGTTACTTGGACTCGGTTCCCATGTCTGACACGGGTACGTGTCCAAGCATCCAACTCAGCTATTTTGTGAAAAAAAATTCTATGATATTGAACTAAAAGTGAAGTGTCCTAGTGTCATACCCATATGTCCGAGGATCTGACACAGGTACGTGAGGTGAAATGATCAAATGAAGAGTGCGAGTAACATAGAGTGTGAATAGAAAATTGAAAATTTAATAGTTCTGCCATCGCTATGGTTGAGTAATATATTGTATACAAGACCTACGAATTTCTTACTTTATTCTTAGGTTTTTATACTGTACTCTTAGTTAATGGCAAGATCTCAATGTACTTTGTTTAAAGTAATGATGTTGCCTCTTACAAGGAGTTGATTGAATTAAGTAAGCTTCAAGCTCTTGGTTGATGCTTTCAATTTTGGTATGGTTAAATGCTTACATCGACGGAATGGTGTGTCATTGAGCTTTCTCAGTAACCAACTTAGATGTGGATTATGTGATAATGGACAGTATATTTACCCGTCTTTTATACTTCCTCCGTTTCTTTTTAGTTGACACGTTTCTTTAGTCATATTTGCCAATGCACAAAGTCAGCCGTTAATATCTCTAATTATCAATAAGCAATAATTATAAAAAGTTGGTATTTTGAAAATATATACCGTGACGAATCTAACAACACCCCACATGATTATATTTTTCATTATATATAAATCACAAAACACGGTCAAAGAATCGTGTCAACTAATAAAAAACAGAGGTAGTATGAGTTAATGGTATTCAGGCGTAAACTAAACTCTCTAATAGTGTAGATAAACTAGTGTGGTGAAGCACTAGACTATAGATTTTGTAGGATTTTGTAGAACTTGTAAATGAGATTTTGCTTGGGTGTAATTGAGTTTTAAATTACAGCTTTTGTAGGATACTCTGGAGTCTGGACCTTGAAAATGAGAATTTTATTATGTGCTATACGATTTTGATTCCAAGTGTGTATGAACAATATTTTCAAGTAACATCACCATGTGATGATTTTTGTGAGTTTCAAATGTTACATATGACACACAAAACCTAGCCCAATAGTGTGGAAGTACGAGTGAAGGGGAAGGCATTTGGTTTTATGGGCTATGCTTAATGTTTGAAACTCATAATTATGCCAAATGGTTTAAACAAATCAATAATAGGATAATTCTTCAAAGGTTTTTTGTGGGCTATATATGAAGTTGGTTGTTTGTAAAATATATATTACATAAAAACTTAAATAGTAATTTCTTGCGGTTCAACTGGTTATAGTAATACCATTGATAGGCAGAGCATGTATTTGTGTTCATTTTTAAAGGAGTCAACAAGTTATTCTTTTTTGGCCTTTTGATGTATAATAGACAATCAAATTTCATCAAATCTCTGACATTTCTTTCTTCATAAAGAGAAGCAAATGGTCATTGCTTATTGGATTAAGGGTACTTATAGAATTGACCCTCATCCACAAGGTAGGAGCAGTGTAATAGACTAACATTAACAAGGGTAGTTTGGGAATTTTAGTACTTTTAGGTTAGTATCCCTTATTCCTAACTAAGCCTTAGTATAAATAAGGGATAGTGTATGCATTAGCTATCATGTGAATTGTGAGGAAAATGTTGAGAGTAGTAACCTCAAGTTACTAGGAGAGTGATAACCTAAAGTTATCAAGAGAGTGATAGCCTTAAGCTATTAATCTATCCTTTTGTATCCAAATTCTGCCATTATTAATCTAAATTATCAAGCTTTTATATCTTAATTAGTCCTTAAATTAGAAAATCCTAAGTCAGTCCATAACAAATTGGTATCAGAGCAGGCGGTCTTGTGGGCTGCCGCTGACTGGAACCACCAGTCTGTACCACCGCATTTAAAAAAAAAAAAAAAAATAAAAAAATAAAAAAAAAATGCAGTTTGCGGGAACAGATGGCGAACGACTCATGAAGAAATGGATTCATGAGGAATTTAAATACATTTCCCTTAAAAGGGAGCAAGGAATTTCAGATCCCGAGGAGAAGAAGAGAATCCGGCAGGAGCTTCAAATTCACGAATTTAATGGAAGAAACTCAGATGACTGGATCTCCCAAATGGAGGATTACTTTCATTTTTTCCAGTTGAATGAAAAGGAGAAGCTCAAGGTTGCCATCATCGGGCTTTGCGGCGAAGCGTTACAGTGGTTCGAATGTGAACACAGGTGGCTACCATTCAATGGGTGGCAGATATTGAAGGTTCAGTTGGTCCGCCAGTTCCGTTCAACGACGACACAATCTGATTACTGTTGTGGTCCCTGGTCCAGCTGCGAGGTAGTACACCTGAAGAGTCAAGAAGTGCAAGAACCGGTGGCGTGTGGATCTGGCAGTGGGGTGAGCACTTTACCAGAGGGTTTCACACTCAACCCAACTGGAGTTGTATGCGAGGCAGGCTGGGATGGGAGACATGGTTGTTCAGGAAACTTTGACGGCGAATTGGGTTGCGGATTTGAGAGCTTTGCGGGAAAAAAAATATCTGGTGGAAGGATTGGTGATTTCGGTGATGGGTTTTCCGGTGGAGGTACGGGTGGAGTCAACAGCGAATTTGGCGGCGAAGCTCATGCAGTTTGGGTAGATTTTAGTACCGTGCAAAGGGCTGAAGTTGAGGTGTTTGTAGGCAATGGAATAGGAGGATTTTTTGAGAAGGGTGGCGCCAATAGTAGTGGATCTGGCGGTGGTTCAGGAGCGTTAACCGGAAAAGTTGAGAGTGATGGTGAGACCGCCGCTAGTGGTGGCCTGAACAGAGACGGAGCTGACTTCGTGAAAGGCGGGTCCATAACAAGCAGCTTACAGGAATTGGGGTGATGTTCTTATTGGTATATAGGGAGAGCCTATACTGATATGATACCTGCCCTTGGTCTTTCAACATGTCATATAAGTAAAGCAAATAATACATTGTGTGCACCCACTAGGTAACGAAAAAAGAGCAATAACTAATACAAAACCTGTATTAACTAAGATATAAAATTAACAATAAGTGACAAAATTAAGCGTAGAAACACAGAATTAGGCGAGTGAAAGAAAAAACGAATTCAAAAGAAGCTTGGAATTCTTATTGCAAATGACTATACTGTGGATCGTAAAACTCGCATTAGTTAAAGCAGAAAGTTTCATGTATTAGTTAGCAAATAGAAAAAAACCTACTAGTGTCTGCCTATACTACTGCTACATTTGTCAGCACCTTCGAACAACAGATACTAACAAGCTCTAATTTTACTTTAATCAACATCTCTTATATTTTTGAGCATATGAAAATGCGTGAAAATGGTTTGCCCTTATGTTATGGCTTACACCAGATAAGTCAGAAGAATCATTGCTCAGAATGTCAAAGTTAGGCCCTATTCGGCAACATGTAGCTATAGCCTGTAGGGATACCCGTTAGTTGTGGATCTGAGGTAGTAGATGTTGGTTGTGTTATTTTAAGCTATAACAAGTTGTTAGCTGTGAAAATTGATGATTAAATTATAGTGTTTGCGGTATTATTATTAAGAACAATGTTATCGGGTTAGGGGAATTATAGGTTTATAGAGCGAATATGATGGCTTGGTCATGTGGATGTCTGACACTATCATTCACTTATGCAGAGATTATTTACCTGACTATCATATCTGATGCCTTTTTAATTTGATTAGTTATTTGTTTTGGAAAAGTGCTAAATTTATTTGAAACTCTTTAGTCTTTACTTACTTTGGTACTCTATCTCTCAAGGGAAGACTTCAGAAGAGGATATCAGGATGAGAATCCAGAGGTTAAATCTATGCGTGATGTATGTAACTGATATATTTCATATTTTCTGTTTTGTGTTTTCAGTTTTAAATGCTTTTACTTGTGAATTTGAGTCACATTGAAATGCTTCTGACAACAGATTGGAAAAGCTTGTGGAGAGAAATGGAAGATTATGACTTATGAGGTAATGCAAGTTTGAATCTTCAGCAAAAATTTTTGTACTGCATTTTAAATTACTACGATTTGTATGTTGTATTCCTATAAAAAAGTTTGTTTTTACAGCTTATTGGTGTAATGTGAAATGTATATGACGTATTTTTTTTATAGAAAAAGTGCTACTCAGTGATTGTTTGGGGTGATGGTTCACCTAAGGCATAATTTAGAGTGTCTAGTGCATGTAGCTCATTTCTGACATACAAAGAAGCCATTGACAGCACCACCGTTTAACTGTAGCAATTAAAATGAGATGGAGAGAATAAGTTAAAAGTGAAAGATGACTCAGGTTCAATGCAGTTTACTGAATGAGCTTGAAGATTATTGTTGGTGAGTTATCGCTTAAGTTAGGGTCTGGTGAGGTTTATTCAAGGGTGACAACTTACCACATTGACTGATGTCCATCTTTCCATTTGATTTTAAAATATTTTCATATATATGTGAAATTGTCATATTCCAATGTCTTCATTTCTAATATGATCTCTTGGAATATTTTGTTCTGTGAAATTTCTGTTTGTAAGGTGCTAAAAAAGTGAAAAGGGAGGAAATTTCAATCAGTTCTGGAAAATGACATGAAAAGGCTATTTCCATGTCCTGCAATTTCCTACTGTTGGTGTGTAATGTGTATGCATATCTTTTTCCCTGCATTTGCAATGCTATGATCATTGCTTTTTTGTCGATATTACGTAGTATATACTTTTACTATCACTTTTCAACCATAAGTTTCCTGCTACAGTTGGTTAGGGACCTTAGGGTTAATAAAGTAACACATTAATGTTTTCATAAGTCACCCAATGCAGGATCTATATCGTTAAACAAATGTTGCGGAGGGTCACTTCCTCAAGTTTGACGTTGTCACAGATTCTTGCATTATGTATTTCTGGCTGGCATCTTTATTTTGTCAGTTTCTTCCATGTGCGATGCTTTCAGCCTATGTCAAATCGGAAATAGGATAAGATCTTACAGAACTGATGCCTAAACAGAGCTAAGTAGTGAATTGGAAAACAAAGTTTCAATTTATGCCTTCTTTGGCCATCTCAAGGCGATGCCAAGAGAATTTGTTTTTTCACTGTTACTAGAAGTTCGGGATATCGAGTTGTATGTAGAGAGTGAGTCAGAAAACATAAATTTTGGATTGACTTCTGTTCTTTTCTGGCTCTTACACTTCACCAATGTAGAAACTTCTACTGTCTCGACCCCCCAACTCAGTCCACAAGGGTTTGAGGAGAGGGTGAAATGAATCAAATGTCATATATGTTTGGTATGTATTGGCAGTTATTGATCAAAATTTTATTACTATACCCCCTTTGTTCCTTTTTAAAGACCCTATCTCTCCAAAGCACAGGTTTTCGACGAGTACTACAACGCTGTATATGAAATAATGTAGTGGGAATAGTTGTATCGTTCTTAGGGGAAGTGATAGAGGGATTCTGATTGTTAAGAAAAAAATAAAATTAAATAGGTAACCCAAAATGAGAAATTGGTCTTTATATGAGATGAGTTTACTTTTTAGAGATACGGGGTCTTTATTTAGGGACGTAGATAATATCTCACTTAAATGAGTTGCTCATAATAGGATGAAATTGGTGATTGAATTAGTGCTTTTCAGGTACTCCTTACTGTGATCTATCCTTGCTTCTTTGCCATAAATGCATGACAATGTGTTGTTTATTTGGTTTAATCAGGAAAAAGTGAAGTACTATGATATAGCAACTGAAAAACGAGCTAAGTTTGACAAGGCAATGGCAGAATACATCAGAAGAAAGGTATACTTCCTCTTATACAGCCATTCCTGTGTCTGTCCTGCTTGCTTTTAAGTTTTAAGTTTATGTAAATTTGGATTTCGTTGTGCCTTAATATAGCATTGTATTTTCTTACAGGAGAGTGGTGAGGGTGCAGAATCTGAGAATTCGGAATCAGATTTCAATCTTGAATAACAAATTGTAGAAGTGAAGATGATATGCGCAGGAGCAGTAAATTGGTGCCAAATATGTCAGAATGTAAGCTAGGAAGAAAAAATGTACATTGACTTGTAAGCGGTTAGTGAAGCTCTGCCTGTTAGATATGTATATGATTTTTGTGCAGATTATTATTTTGTATTAATCAGAACAAATGGTGTGATGTGGTTATGTAGTAAGGACATGTCATTGATGAGTGAAAAATTCATTGGGTGACCCATATTTCCTTGCTAATTCATGTCTTGGACCATGTTTTATGGTTTGATGATCAAGATTCGAATATTTGATCTTGTTCTGAAGGCATAGAGTCTGAATTCTTATCAAGGATTTGTTTCTTTTATGTCTTGAAGATCAGTGTGCCAAATTTGGGGTTCTGGCCATTCTGGGTCTAACATATATGTCTCGAATGTCTTCAAAGATGCTACTTCATTCGAGAATTATGTGCCATATATGACTTTGTGGTAGATTCTTATCAATTCCTGCAATTTTTTTAGGGGAAGTGATAGAGGGATTCTGATTCTTATCAATTCCTGCAATTTATATTATGATGTTTTGGTATTTAATGATGGGAAAGGAGAGTTTTGGATTCTACTGTCGAATGTAGCTCATCTTTTTTAGGCTTGTTTTGTTTTGTTACTATTATGTATTAGGATTTCTGACAGCAGTATTATTTAGTGATAGGGCCTTTACTGTACAAAAGGCTAATGAGAAACAAAAAGGAATATTATTAATTATTTTTAAAAAAATTAATGGTATGTTAGTTGTTGATTAATGAAAAGCAAGAATAAAAGAGTAATTTTAGATGTAAAACAAGAAGCATACCCCAAAAGGCTATCTAGACTAACTTTTCATATCACGAAAAAGTCCACTTTTTAGCCAAACAAATAGCCCATTGCCAAACATTTCCTCCATTTGCATTTATTTGCAATACACCACTTTGATACGCACTTTAAGGAAGATATTATAGTAGGTAAATGAATAAAGGAAAAATTGATTCTAATAATCTCACCTTTGGCCGGTTCGCCATTAATAATCCCACCTTTTGATTATTATTTAATAATCCTACTTTTATAGGCGATTTCCTTCTATTGGTCCCTAACAGGTTGGTAACCAGTTTTATTAGGTGAATATGCTATGTGTTACTTTGTGATTAGTTGAAAATTGTAAAAATTAAAAAATAAAAGAAAAACCAAAAAATTAAATAAAAAAAAAATAATCTCAGCCATATCTCTGTATCTCAACCCCACGCCACTCTCTATCCCAACTTCCGGCCACCCCCTTTCCCACCCCCACCACCACCGGAATATTCCCCTCTTCACGACCCACTGTATGACAACGCCCCCCCTCCACATCACTTTTCCTCTTTTATTCCCCTTTCTCCAACTTCTCACTGCTCCTTAATCTCTCTCCATACTGAAGCATTATCAATGGCTCCCAAAATCCCTAAACCTCCGCAAAACTCTTCAAAGCCCCAATAAACCTCAACCAATTCAAAATACTACGAAGCAATATTAACCGCAAAACACTAGCATCAAGCGAAATTGGTCAATAACTGATTTCGAAATCGAAAATCTACCTTGCTTGTGAAACAAAGGGGGTTTTCCCCAATTTTGCAGTAGTAATTGTTTATTTATTCAATTGTTTTGAATATGTTTTCAATTTTCGATTTTGATGGAGCAAAGTACATAGTGGTGTTGAAAGTGATATTTAAGGAGAAAATGAGAAGTATATACTGCATCATCAATTAAGGAGAGACATGGAGATTCAAATAGGTTTACGCCACCGGAATGTTCCGAGGCTTTATGAGTGGTTTCATGATGAAGAAAGGATTGTTTTTATCCTTAAAATGGAGAAATTCAGATGGAGGGGGAGGTGGGGCGTTGTCGTGAGAGGGGAAAATCCCGGTGGTGGTGGGGGTGGGGAAGGGGGCTGCCAGAGGATAAAGGGGGTGGCCGGGTGGGAAGGGACGAATGTCGGAATTTCGGGTTGCCTTCCGTGGCTTTGGGGATGGCTGAGTTTTTTTTTTTTTTTTTTTTGACCAATAACATAATAACACATGTCACTTAAATTAGAATTAAAAAAAATTACCCATTGTACAGGTAACCGGTCACAAGAGACCATTAGAAGAGAATCTCGTATAAAGGTGGGATTATTAAATAATAATAAAAAGGTAGGATTATTAACAGCGAATCGATCAAAGGTGAGATTATTAGAATCAATTTTTCCATGTATAAATTAATTGACAAAATTTTACCACCAATAAGAAAGAAGTGATAAGCTACTATGGTTTAAGTTTTATAACTTAATTCGTTGGTTTATCTTACCTTATAGTTTAAGTTTTATAACTTAATTCGTTGGTTTATCTTACCTAATCACTTTCTCAAAAATCGTGTGTGTTACAAGTATTAAAAATAAGAGGTACTTATTTTGGTTTGTTTAATGATGTTAAAAAGCCGTCAGCTAATGAAAAAGCTTGCCAAAAGCTACTTTTTATTTACCAGACACCTATAACGAATCTCTTGTACTCCATAGGATAGAGAACCTGGGTCATGCAAATACTATCTTAATTATAATGCGATGCTCTGTTTGCCTGGAGACCCAAATTAGTTGTCATATTATTTGGTACTTTGTGCTGGTCATATATGTACACATATGATTCTACCATAGGAGAACCTTTCATGATAAACTAAGTCATTTCCATATTCCCCTATCATTCAGCTCAATAACAAGAGTTGCGGAGATTTGACATTAAACCAACACTATTGATTGAAAGAAAAGTGACAACTTTTTCCGTACATCCTAGACACAGAAAACAATATTATCACTAAAGATCCATATCCATACTCTATTTTATAACCTTGTAACCTCAATATGTGTATGAAATTGCTGTCTCATTCCTTACGCAGTTGCTCCTAGTAGTAAATATTATATTCAAAACCTGGCACGTTAGAGCTTCAATTGTGGTAATGACTAATTTTGCTAGGCTAATCCAAAACCTGAAACTTTGTGTCTCTTAATAATGATATACTAGGCAATGCTAATCACAGCCACTTTAAAGTTTTCTCTTGATCCAGATTCGCTTGCTTCTGTGATGAGGCCAGTGCATTAGCAAGACTTCGAACTTCAGCGATCATTGCCACCACATCATTAAGCTTGTTAACAGCAGAGCCAACACCCTGTTTTTTAAGAGAAACAAATAATTAATAATGTCAGAAAATTTCTCCCTAATCTCAAGAACACTGTCAAAAGAGTGAAGATTTCTGACAAAATGGAGTAAGGTTGACTTACAACACCAGCAGCCCCTGCTGTTATGGCCATTGGAACTGTAACAGCGCTTAAACCAGAAGAACACATGACTGGGATTGTCACTGCTCGAGATATTGAATACGCAGCTGCTAACGTGGGTGTTGCCTGAAATTATGACAGTTTAAGCCACCAGCAATTTAGTTTTCAAGATACATGCCTTTTGGTGTTCATTTTGTTGCACTAAAGTTTATAATGATGAGATTTTACCTTCTCAATCAAACCCAGAACCCCAGGTTTTGAAGGTGTTGAACATTTCCCCCTTCTGTTTGGATAACATCAGCACCTTCGAGCTGCAGGAGCTCTGCTAGCCTGGCCTGTATGATCGATCATCAACAGCAGAAGCATCAGACATATTTGAAGTATATTTCTCATTAACTCACAAAATAGTTTCATTTATTTACCTGCTCAGGGAGGCTTAGGGTGTGCGGCACAGTGACCGATAAGGTCACATTTGGAAGGATTTGTTTAGTTTCCTTTGTCAACTTCAAAATCTGCATGATAAAATGTGATTACAGTCGCAACAAAAGTTTCAAAACTAAAAGGAAGAAGGAAGTTAGACAGAAATGTCAAAATTCTGTTGATGGTTTCCGATTCAGAACATTATTGACAGTACCTCTTCAGGAGAGAAAATCCTGCCCATCTCATAAAATGAGTCGTAATTTCCGATTTCCACCTGCAATAACCATAAAGCAATGTTTGTTCAGTGCTTCCCCTTGGGAGGTTAAACAATTATATTTGTAATTTTTTGCTTTTGTTTGTGTAATGGAAAGAAATGGCTTGGAGATTTTGATAACAGACCATTGTTGCGCCAGCTTCAACAGCAGCTAGGAAAGCTGAGGGATCTACAGAAGAAACACAAACCTGCAAAGATGTAGCTACTAGTTTGTTAATAAGAGCTTCAAGAACTGAGGTGTTTGACAATTATTCCGTTAGTAGGCGATTGATTACCGGAAGGGATGTTAAGCTGACTGCAAGTTTCACCAACTCAGGATCGCAGGCAATATCAACATGAGTTGCTCCTCCCTGCGTGTGTATATTAGTATCAAACCTTAGCAATATGCTCACTTAACTTGGCTAATGTAGGCGATTATGATTAGTGTGAAAATTCTATTACCTTATCTGCAGCAGTCACAACAGAAGCTACATTGTTCCTGTCCAAATTCTGCAAACCAGAGATAATCTACAAAAAAAAAAAAAGGAAAAAAAAAGTGTATTAATTCGATATTTTTGAACAAATGCTTTTTTTGTCCGAAATTAGTTGTCACATTATTCAAACCTCCCATAATTAAGAATAGCTATATAACAACATTCAATCAAAAACCATTACTATTGTAAAAAAAGAGGACTAAATTTCATAGTATGAGAATTTTAGCAGTATTTCATTATAGCACTCTGCATACATGACAATTAATTCGAGACAGAGAGAATATACCTTAAGAGCTCTATTGTGGTGAAAATCCTTCAAAACAGCTTCTTTGGTAGATGAGAGAAGTGCTGTAGTAGTAGTACGAGTACGAGTAAAAGAAATTTGAGGTTTAGACTTACGAGCAGTGTAAAGAGGATTACTATGTGTAGGTTTCAAAAGGAGGTGGTGTTGAGAAGGAGAAGAAAGACCCATTTGAAGAGACATTGCCATCTTCTTTGGTTTCAGTTTAGTGGAAAGAGAAGTGGTGAAGATAGAAGAGGTCTAAGAGATAAGAAATATGTTTTGGCTGTTTTCTATACCTTGGAAACTTTTCCACTAGTCATAGTAATATCTTAGCTTGGGTTGATATTTTGCGCGGAACATTGCGCCTAGAGGTGTCAATTTGGATGATTGGATCGGGTCTGGTCGGATTAATTTTTACAGTTGAGTCATACTAAATTATTATATCTATGCGAGTCAAAATCTAAATCGGATGTTTTTTGAATCGGTTTCAGATCGGGTGCGACCGAGGGTGATTTTGACACCTCTAATTGCAAGTAGCATAATCGGATAATATTAGCACTGTCAAAACGGTTTGACAGTTTGGGTTCGGTTCGGTTTGAAATCAGTTCGGTATTAAATCGGGTCGGTTTGAAATCGGCTTAAGTGTCTCGCGGGTCGCTTCCAGTTCAGTTTAAATAGTTATCGGTTCGATTCGGTTTTGGTTTATTCTTGAGCGGTTTTAATTCGGTTCGGGTTGTAAACAGTCCGGGTAGTAAACGGTTTGGTGCAGACGGGTCGCAGTTTGTTACTGGATCGGTGTAAATGGTTTTATCCTGGTTCAAACAGTTTCGGGTTGAAAACAGTTCGATTCTTTTTCGGTTCAGTTTATAACTAGTTCGGTTCAATTTCGGTTCAGTTTATTGGTTTGGTTCCTTTTCGATTCAATTTATAACTGGTTCGGTTCTTTTGCGGTTTTGTTTATGGCAGGAGGATTCTTAGTGGCAGGAAGATATTTTATACCATGATAATAATTTGGCAGGAAGATATTTTATACTATGATAATAAATTTTCAATAAATATAAATTTGGCAGGAAGAATTTTTGTACTATGATAATTAAATTCATTTAAAACACCTTTTAACTTGATTTTAATATTCTCTTTATAGTAAGCAGTTTGTAGTCGATTCGTTTATAAGCGGTCCGGTTTGCAAGCGGCTCGGTTTATAAACAATTCAGTATATATACAGTTCGGTGCAAATAGGTCGCAGGTTGTTAACGGTTCGATGTAAACGGTTTTTATCTCGGTTCAAACGGTTTCGGGTTGACAGCGGTTTCGGGTTAGAAACAGTTTGGTTCTTTTTCGGTTCGGTTTGATTTTTGTTCGGTTTAGAACTGGTTCGGTTCATTAACGGGTTCGGTTCTTATACGGTGTAACGTTATTCGGATCGGTTCGATTTCGGGTTCATTCACATACGAGTCGGGCCGGTTTTCGATTTCAAAAAAATGGTTTTTAATCAGTTCGGTTCTCATTTGAATTGATTTGTTTCAGACAGTTAAACGGTTTTGATTTAAAATTTGCGAGCACCAGATAATATATATAACACTTTTGCAGGAAATTACCTTCTCAAAGATCCTAGCAACTACATACTTTAAACAAAAATAATTTTGCGAAAACAATCTTACCATATATTCTAGCTTAGCATTGACCCACCCGTTCTAGTCACGTGACCTTTATAAATTCGATTTCCACCCTTTCTTCTTGTAATTCTCCATTAATTTCCAATAAAACAATTTTTCAATTAAAGTATAAGTTCAATTTTTATCTTTGGATAACTTTTTTCTTGCTTCACTATACCTTCTTCCCAAATTCACATGCTCTCTTCATCTTACGCTCTATGATCCTCCCATCAATTCTTAGTTGGATAAATAAAATATTAAACCTACCAACAATGCATAACAAAACTTATAGGAGAATTAGTAAGGTGGGTGATAATAAAATAAGGGTATTATTTATTTATTGTTCAAGTAGGCAAAATAATAAGACTCTTATTAATACTAATAACTACGAGTAATTGAAGAATAGTAAGGGGGTGTTGGTATCCTATTTTGTAGGCAAAGGAAGGACCCTTGGTAGGATTTAAGCAACTTCTCATCTATTTACTTCTTCCACCTTTTTTTTTCCTTTATTAAAAATTGGAGTAAACAATATTTTTGGTACGAGCACCAATGGACACATGCAAGTTCAACGTCTGAAATTTGTCGTTTAATAAAATCAACAAATACACGAGACCATTTTTTAAACCATACACGAGACCATTTTAGGCAATAGTGTCAATAGTCTTAGCTAGTCTTAGTCATGCATTCCACTCATGTGTGCGCAACAACACTGCTGGGCGGCCTGGGCCTTGCCAAATGTCGACTCGCATCGTGATTGTGCGGCTGCTATTGTGGAATGTTGGCGCACACTATGACACAAGGTCTGTGGCATTGCTATGGTGTGATGTTGCCTCGATTGGGACTATGAGAGCAACTCCAATGGCAAGCTAATTGTCAAATTAGCTTTGGCATGTCACATAAGCTTTTAAGCTAATTGTCATTTTAATTCCAATGACTAGGCAGCTAGCTAATACTTACTGCATGTTTAAATGGACCACACCTCCTTCATTTACGTTGATAAATTTCATTTTATTATTCTAATTTGTTTTATTTTAGAAATTTTTTTTTCAAAGCTATTAGCTTGACCAAGCTAATTGCATTTTCAAAGTCCAATAATAAAACTAGTAGCTAGAGATTATTTAATATTGCAAGCAAGTTCCTAGCTACAATCATTGGAGTTGCTCTCAAAGGTCTTACCTTGGCATCTAGCCTATGATGTGAGGCTATAAGCCATCGTTCGTGGCTGTGTGTGTCATCAAGCCATACGATCTCTTGACTCGTATTTTGACATTGGCCTTTTACTTGGAACATCTAAGCCCAACGTCTAATGCTTTGCTCATGATATTGTTGAACAAAGTATTTGCCTAATCCGTTTAATTGATCAATTTGTGCTTTAGATGTGATTCAATAGGTTGAATTAAGATTACATAAGTTGTGATGAGACTAACTAAATAATATTCTCATGCATCAAAAGTGGTCGCCAACTAGGCATTTGGATAAATTGATCTCATTGAACAATTAGCTCCATAAACATTTTAACCAACTATTAATCTATTATGCCGAAGGGCACATTGTCTTCACTTCCTATGTTTATTTCTATTAACATTATTCATAGTTTTCAATGCGCATATAAATGAAAAAATAGTTTAAATACATGTTATTATAACTCGTTTATTTAAGGTCATATTGTGAAACTGCACTATGAGACAGATTAAACGATGTCACACATCTATCTATCTATCTATCTATTCTATCTATCTATCTATATACTATACTAAAAGAGAAGCGGATCAATGTGGAGCTGACAAATGTATGTCTCTGATTCGCTTCTCTTAATATAGTAAAACAATAAATATATATATATATATATATATATATATATATATATATATATATATATATATATATATATATATATATATATATATATATATATATATATATATATATATAAAGCACAAAAGATAAAGTAACTAAATTCAATTATGGTAAACAATTACTGAAAATAAAAATATTACTCTATTTATATATTTGTATTTTTTATATGACTTAATGCAAATCATCTATTCATATTTTGGAGTATTATTAATGTATGATATTCTTCTTGATTATTCTTTACTAAGTAGTTGCGTTATTAAATAAGAAAAATTTATGCCAAAATTTATGACAAGTGGATCAATGAGAGCTAACAAGTGTCATTTTATGACTCGCTTATCTTATATCTGTAATATGATATGTAAAATTTTCATAATATATTACATAATTTTTTTGGTTAGTTTTTAATATATAAATTTTATAGATTTAAAAATAAATTTGATTGAATGTGATTGATTCTAAATATTGAAAATGAATTCCAAATATTTATGCATACATGATAACTATTAAATATTCCATACAATTCTATAATTAATAATTAAATATTATCTAATATATGAAGATTATTCTCATTTTTATAATCGTTGAATTTTCATCATATTTTAATTTTATATAATTTATAAATACCTATATGCTATAATTTTTTTTATTCATTCATATTTATAAGAATACAGGTCATAAAAAAATACATTACCAACATGATTGATTAGTTGATGATGAATTATGTCTTTCATTCATATAAATCTTACAAGTAATAAATACTCCGTATCTTTTATTCAAATGTTAGTTTTCAATATTGATCTACATCTATATATTTATGTTGTATATTCAATCAATTGGTTATCGTATGATTACTATGTAAAAGTTTTTGGCACAATGCTTAGGAAAGTATATATGTAGGTAAGATATAAGATTCTTATTGTGTCAATAAAGATTTAATTAGTATTCTTCAAAAAAAAAAAGATTTAGTAAATGTGACGGGTAAAATAGATATTAGGTTGTACGACTATCAGGGTCTATTTTTTCACTTTATTTTCATTTATTTCAAGTGTAATAAGTTCAATTAAGTTCAGATAAATTCAATTTAGTTTTAATAAGTTTTAATAAAGGTTTCCCAAGTACAAATTACAACTAGAATAAGTTTTAATAAGATGTTAAGGTCTAATAATTAAAAGAGAAAAGTTCAAATTAGGTGAATAAAATACACCCTCACACCCTAAACCGGTTAATATGACAAGAAAATTTTATTTTTAATTCCCTCCACAGGAGATAGAAAATAACTTTTCTTTAATAGAACATAATAATTTATTCGGTTTTTTTTTTAAAAGTTATTCGTTTTTCAATTAATTAAATAACAATATAAAAAATAAAAAAGAAATAAATTATAAGAAATACAAATGACAAAGTACTATTCATATCACATTCCTTAATATTTGTATTAGCCATTATTGTCAGTGAATACTTTAATAATTAATTTGTTAATGTAAATAAGTCAATTATTACTATAGCAATTTTTGGTGCAACAAGTCACATCATGCGGCAGGGGTTACTTGAGTTTTTTTTAGGGGTTACCTGAGTTTTTCAGTTAGGGGTTACTTAAGTTTTTCAGTCAGGGCTTACTCGAGTTTTTAAGTCAAGGATTACTCGAGTTACTCGGTCAAGACTTACTTAAGTTTTTCAGTCAGGGGTTACTCGAGTTACTCGGTCAGGACTTACTTAAGTTATTCAGTCAGGGGTTACTCGAGTTACTCGGTCAGAGGTTACTTGAGTTACTCGATTAGGGGTTACTTGAGGGGTTTGGACAAGGGTTACTCGAGGGGTTTTCTCAGTTAAAGGTTACTCAGTCAGGGGTTACACGAGTTTCTCAATCAGGGCTTACTCGAGTTTCTCGGTCAGGCCGCATTCAAAAAATTGTGACTCGAGTAACCCCTGACAGAAAAACTCGAGTAACCCCGGCCCTGACCAAGAAACTCAAGTAACCCCGAAAACTTAAGTAACCCCTGACCGAGAAAGTCAAGTAACCCTTGCCGCATGGTACTACAGGCCGCATATAAAAAAATGTGTTATTACTAGCTAATTCATATATTATTTATCAATATCGATTTATACATACATATTTGTGTTGTATATTCACTCAGTTTTTGGTTGTGCGACTGTTATGTGATTTTTTTAGCACAATGCTTAGACAAAATATGTATATGTAGATAAGATATAAGGGTATTTAGCTTGTATAGTGCATAATGATAAAATTATGTCTATAGATTTGGTGATTATAATAGGTAAAATAGATATTATATTGCATAACTATTGAACCGATTAATATGACGATAAAATTTTAGTTTTGAATCCCTCTATAGACTACGGGTAACAGGAAACGACTTTCCTTAGCTTGTGTAGTGCTTACTTTATTCGTTTTTAATCAATAAAATAACAATATAAAAAATGAAAAGGAATAAAATAACAACAATAAAATAATTTTCATATCACATTCCGTAAAAATATATTGACCATTATTGTGGTGATTGGTGAATAGAATTTTAATAATTAATTTGTTAATGTAAATATGTCTACTTTTACTAAATGAATTATTTTTGTTTCGTTTTTATGAAATTAAAATTTTGATTTTGAAACCATGCATCACACGGGAACTATACTAGTAATAATATATTTTCTTATGTACATTGGATTAATGTATTTTAATTTGTTGTGGAATATATATAAAGATTTTTAAAAATAAGACAACAAAAAAGAATGGCATAATTAATGTTAAACAATACAAAATTGGTGTAAATTGATATATTGTGAATTGATAATCTCATTTATAAGAAATAGGTAACACGCATTTATCAGTAAACATCAAACTATAGCTCATTCATAACCTATTATGTATATGATTTTCCTAAATATAGTGTATAAAGGTGAACATTGTTATGCATGCATTAAGTTTTACGGGGAGTTTTGTATCAAATTATAGGTAACGGATTGGAAACAACTTAGGGGAAAAGGTAATACATAGTGTTACCCTTAGAGCATCACCAATGGTTCAATTATAAAGACTTGCTTGCAATTTAAATAAAGTTTCTAGCTACATGCTTATCATTGGAGAACAAAAAATTGAGCACATGCAAGCAACTGTAGCCCAACCAAGCTACATGCTTGATTGAAAAAGAGACAAACTCCACTCATATTGTAACATGTGTATAATTATCTATTATGTTTTATTTTTTATTTTTTGCAAACTACAATATGTTGTGGCTTACCATTGGAACAATTTGTTACTTAAAAAGTATTATTGTAACTTAGAAATTGATGTGGAAAAGCAAGCTACAGAGCATTGTAGCTTGCCATTGAAGATGCTCTTACTAGTTACTTTAGTGATTAACAAAACGGATTCAAACGGAAACGATAATCTGTTTCCGTTTCCTTCCCTATGAAAAATCCATACCAAACACCCGCTTAGTACTTAATATATACTTCCTCTGTTCTTTTTACTTAACATGTTTCTTTTATCACGTTTGTCAATGCAAAACTTTAACAGTTAATAACTTTAATTCTCCATAATTAAAAAATATAAAAGTTATATATTATAATAGTACTTATTGAGACGAATTCAAAATGGTCTAACATAAATATATTTTTCCTTATATATTATTCACAAAATACGGTAAAAGGTTAGGTGGTGAATAGTGTAAAAGTCAAAGCGGGTCAAATATTAACAAGTTCTTATTATTAGAGTAACATACACCGCGTTAATGATACTAATTATGGCACATTCATAATTTTCAACTTTCTCAATAATAAATAAATAAATAAATAAATAATCAGGTTTTTCCATGACAACAAATCACATCCCTATGTCCATTAATGGTTTTTTTTGAACAATTGTAAGTTGATTTTTTCAATCTCATATGATTATTTTTGTTTTAGCTTCCATATGAATCTCATATATATTCAATCTTGCTCCTATTATGTGTCCTTAGATTTGGAAAAATGAATCCTAATAACACCCATCAAACCCATAAACCTGATGAAATATGTTACGCCGATATAATCAATCATAACCAACTTTGGGGATTGAAAATTTATCCTCTAAAAGAACCGGTTCCACATCTCGTACTACAGATGGCTGTAGCCATTGGCATCAATCATGGCCTCCTTCTCCTTTGTCAACGTTTTGGTCAACCTCGGATTGTATCTTATATTATGGTATGAGATATTTTCATCAATTTTTTGTGTTTATTATGCTACTTTTCTACGAATTGATTATTGTTTTCCTTCTGAAAAAGCAAGTAATTTGAAAATGCTATATTGTTTGAGTTTTCTTTTTACATTATTTAAGTCCTTAAAAATCCTGGGAAATTTTTTTAGAAGGTAAAATTACCTTAAGGAAATGATGAAGATTTAAATATTGTATTAATGTTTTTTAAAAAAATTGTCTTTTATTTTGAAATTTCAAATAATGGTGTTGCATTGAGCCATTGATTAGATGAATTTTTACTATACTTCATATTTCATTTGCTTTAAAACTAATAGCATTTTTTATGCATGTCTAATGCATAATGTGATTATAATCTTCTTCTCACAGACATCCTTAATACTTAGTCCATCTCTATTGAATCAAATCCATTATCAACTCAAAGAATTAATACTGCCATCAAAATCATTCACCATCCTCAAGGCGCTAGCAAATTTGGGGCTTATTTATGCAACATTTATCAAAGCTCTACAAGTATATCCAACTCCGATTTCTCATTGTAGAACCAAGATGTTATACCTCTCTTTCTTAGTAGTCTTCTTTCCTTTTGTGATTGGATGTGCCTTGTATATATTGCTAATCAAGGAAGGCAAAACATCTTACATTGTTGGGATCGTAAGCATATATTGGGGGACTACTATAACCGCGACAGGATTTACAAGTTTGGCTCCGATATTAACTAATTTTAAGCTATTGTGCACACGCTTGGGACAAGAAGCACTATTTGTAGGCTTATTGAATAACTTCTGCACTTGGGTTCTCATTAATATTACTACAGCTCTCTCAGCGTCTCCCAATGATCGCAACAGTATTAACATAGTTTCCACATGTTACATATTATTCCTTATGGTACTTTACTTAGTGTTTTGTTGTACAGCAATCAAACCCGCCATATTGAAGATTACGGCTAATGTACCAGAGGGTGAGAAGTATAGCAATTTTGTGGTGCATATGATATTGTTTTTGGTATTGGCTTGTGGGCTTCTAACAGACTACCTTGGTTGTCATTTCATCTTTGGTGCATATGTATTGGGAAGAATTATTCCTCCGGGAAATCTAGCTAAAACATTGATAGAGAAGATGGAAGATTGTGTTGACGGTGTTTTGATGCCTCTCTATTTTGTGGTGTTAGGAATAGGGGTGGATATCTCCGTAATCTTGGTAAATTCCAAATACGTTTTGGTTGTAATATTGGCTGTTGCAACTAAAGTTTTATGCACTCTTCTAATTGGATTCTTCTGCAATGTACCACTTGTTGACGGCTTTCCGTTAGGGATTCTCCTAAGTTCTAAGGGATTTTTTCCATTAGTCCTCCTTAATATTGGACGTCAACGAAAGGTAAATCAATCAATCATCAATAATCAATAACTATATATACTAAAAGACATATCACTAATAACACATGTCTTAATTATTATAATTTTTTTAGTATATAGCTAAGGATAGTAACAAAGATAATTACTTTTTAAAAATAAATTATATACCTTTTCACACAAACATTTATGACTAAAATAGAAAATATTAACATAATTTGCAACCTATTTCAACTTATTTAGTTCAAGAAAGTATTCATGTTTTTTCCCTAATAAAAATATTTATTTATTTATTAATTAAAATTCACATCAAAATAGTGTGTATATTCATTAATTTTTTTTCAATTTTTTTGTAAAATAACCAATTATACTTGAAAAGTTTATATTAATTTTTTAAAATTAGCGGGTATGCCACGAGATTTAAACTAGTAATTTATAAGATGTAATTTTGTAGAGTTAACTCAAAGGCTGTTCATAAACCGATCCGGACCGGAAAAAAGGACCGGACATCCCCGGACCGAACCGAATTATTTGGTCCAGTCTTTGGGTCTTGAAATTCATTTTTCCGGTCGGGTCCAAAACCCTATAAAAACCGGTTTTGGACCGGACCGGTTTTTTAATTAAAAATATGTGTAAAACCTTAAATAATGGTTAAAATTATCCTTAATAAGCTTAGAAAACTTTAAATTTATAAGATTTTCCGCACTAAACATACAAAAAAAGACGTAAAAATGACGTTACAACATAGTTTTCCAATACTTTTTTTGTGTTTTCCTAAACTTTATAAAAAAATTAGTATTCTTTTTTAAAAAAATTCGTAAATCGGTCCAAAGCGGTCCGGTCTGGGTTTTGGACCGATTCTTTCGGTCCGGTCCGGGTTTGGTCCTAACTTAATCGGTCCGGTCTTCGGTTCTTAAAATTCTAATTTTCGCTCTTCGGTCCAATTCAGGTTGGTCCGGTCTTGGACCGATGACCAGCCCTACTAATACGGTAAATTTTGCATTTCTTTTGTTTTACAGATTTTATCAGGTGACTCTTATACGTTGCTCTTCATCACAATATTTTTGTCAACAATTTTGGTGGAACCTATAATGAAAATCATTTGCAAGCGTATAGGGAAAATTCCTCAGTTGTATGATCAAAGAAGTTTACAAGGAGCAAATTTTTCAGAAAAGCTTAAGTTAATCACTTGTATACATAGCACAAGGAATGTCCGCAGCATCATAAACCTCTTAGAGATTTCAAACATTACGGTCCAACACCCTGCATCAGTTCATGTAACCCATCTTATTGAACTTTTAGGCCATGCCCCCGCGATGCTTATTGAACATGAATCTCAAGGGTCTTTCTTTTGGAACCTTGGTTCCAAGCTTTTCTGTGATCGAGGAAGGGCTGAGTCGGACCAGATAATCAAGGAGTTCATTGAATATACAGATCAACATGGTAACTCTACATCTTCTTTAAAAGTATTTACAGTTGTGTCTCCTATTAATACAATGCATGAGGATATATGCAGTCTTGCCGAGGATAAGCATGCATCCCTTATAATCCTTCCATTTCATAAACAACAAGGGGTGGATGGAAAGTTAGAGGACACTAACATAGAATTCGGAGGTGTGAACCAAAATGTGCTAGATGTGGCACCGTGTTCTGTTGCTTCGCTCGTGGATCGTGGACTAAGAGTGGATTCTATGTCTTCCTCTTCTGAACTATATAGTGATGATGGACAAGGTTGTGAACAAGTTCAAATTGCAATGATTTACATAGGTGGTTGTGATGATCGCGAAGCATTGACATATGCTTGGAGGATGGCAGGCCATTCCTCTGTTAACCTCACAGTGATTCGATTTCTAGAAGGTGAACAATTAAGTGATATTGATCAACCTATAGACTATTTAGATTTTGGTGATAGTGATGTTGAGGTTGAAAACCTTACTATATCAGCACAAAAGTTAAGGGAAATCCAAGTTGATAATGAATTTCTAATGGATTTTCAAGAGCAAACTAGTTATGACAGATCGATATGCTACCTTGAAAAATTTATTAATTGTCCAGGGGAAATTATTTCTTCATTGAGGGAAATGGGTCATGATTTTGATTTGTATATGGTCGGAAAAGGTCAATCAAGGTTATCTTTTCCGACAATAGGTTTAGTTAAGTGGAGTGAGTTTAGAGAGTTGGGACCAATCGGAGACATTTTGATAACATCTGAATTCACCTCTACTGCATCAGTGCTTGTCATGCAGCAATATTCGAATAAATTAAGTAAAAGAAGTTTTGTAGTTAAGTCTAGTGAAGAAGAAAAAGTGACTATTATTAGTTCTTAGAAATAACAATGATTTGGTTTGTTAGATCATATTTGAAAATGTATAACTGTATTTGTTAGATTTATAATCAAGTTGTGTGAGATGTGGATTTTCCTTGTACTCTTAAGTTTGATACGAAGTATTTTATTTGGATGCCCCAGTTTCTCATGTTGTTTCTCACATGGCATTTTCGTAAATAAATCAACAACTTTATTCAATTGTGGAGTCCACAATAATGAAAAAGTTGTTGATTTATTCACAAAAATGTCTTTATGAGAAACAAATTTGTTTCTCACCATGAGAAACAGGGAATTTCCCTATTTTTTTTAGAAAGTTAATACGAAGTACTACTTGACTTTATTTGTATTTTAAGAAAATAATAATAATTAATTGCTTATGGCTGAAAGAGTAAAACTCATCACGTGTCTAAAATTTTAGACGCTCTAAAAAATGGGGGTTACTAAATGCCACAATAGAATTACTTATGTTGCGGTATTGAATGACCCATTTGTCCTTGTTTTTTTTTGGCAAATTTGTTATTTATTTAAGCCTATAAATTTACTAATTTTTTTTAACCCATAAATTTTACTAATTAAATTAAGTGTATTTTTTTTAATAATTATTAAAAATTAATTACTATAAATTAAACGGATTGCTTAAAAAAATAATTAAATGTTACCCGGTTGCATGTTACATGCGAGTAGTATGCGACTATACCGCGGTGTAGTCGCGTATAGCATGCGACTATACCACGGCGTAGTCGCGTATCACATGCGACCTTACCACGGCGTGCTATATGCGACTACGCCACGGTTTAGTCGCATGTTATATGGGACTACGCCGCGGTATAGTCGCATGTAACATGCGACCGGGTACAACGGAAATTAAAAAAAAAAGTCCGACATATACTTGACTCGACGGCGTCGAAGGTTTGTCATACACTCGTACCCACCAAGTGCCTCAGCTCTGATATAAACGCAGACAGTCGTCGACTCATTTTATTGGACGAAAAGTACAATGTTAGTGGTCAACCGTTGTGAAATCGGTCAAGTTTGTTGTTAAGGAATAGTCGTGGTGGTGGACAGTCAAGGTGGGTGGTGGTATTGGTGGTGGAGCTAATAGTCAATGTGGAGCTAAGGCTTGAGTATGGTCAAGGTAGGACAAAGTTAGTAGTTAGTAATGGTTGGATTGTTATGTTATTTTCAAAATAATAAGGGGCATAAAAGTCTTTTAATACTATAGTTTGAGTAATTTCATTGTGGCAAATAGCAATCACTAAAAAATTGGTGATATAAATGCAGCCATGTAGGGATCAAATTTGGTCATATATTATAAGTATGTGGAGGGATCAAAGTGAAATATATATTTAGGATTATAAACAAAGATGAAAACTAATGTTTGACATCGTTGTCGATTTTCTAATATGATATATTTTGTAAGTTATATAATGAATAAAAAATTAGCCAAACTTATTAAATCAGGATAATTTTAAAAACTAACAATAGAAAATTAAAAACACGTACTTTTTTTTTTCTTGTTTCCTATATTTGGATTTTTGTTATCAAAAAAATATTAATCACATTTGATATGATCATATTTTGTGATACTAAGATATATTTACCAATACTTACTCCTGTCTTTTATAATTCAACACTAACTTTTATATGTCAGCATACAGCCACACAACCACAATGGGATTATTTAATTGGTGTTATAAGGGTTACTGCTAGTGTTATTAGTGGTTACACATTGTGAAAGGGGTTACTTTGTCAGTAATTGTAAAAACTTTTGCAATATAAGAAAAATTTCACGCTACATGCTTACCATTGAAGAATAACAAATTGAACAACATGCAAACTACTGTAGCCCAAACAAGCTACATGCTTGATTAACAAAGAGACAAATAAATTACACTCATATTGTAACATGTGTACATTAATTTATTTATTTTTGTAAATTTTATTTTTTTACAAACTAAAATATGTTGGAACTTATCATTGGAACACTTTGTTGCTAAAAAGCGTTACACCTTAAAATTTGATGTGGAAAAGCAAGCTAAAAAGCGTTATAGCTTGCCATTAAAGATGCTCTAAAGGTTACTCTATTACTTCATACTCCCTTCGTTTTTAAATACTTGCTCAATTTCTCTTGGACACGCATGCCGATGTTAATCTTTGATCAATAATATCTTTAATTACCAATAAGTATAAATTCTAATAATTGAAAATTAATAATCTATTCATTGAGATGATTCCAACAAGTACCCCCAAGACTATATTTTTTCTTATGTATAAATCACAAACATTATTCAAAGTAGGACAAATGAATAGTGCAAAAAATAGAAATGGAGCAAGTATTTAAAAACGGAGGGAGTATTTAACAAGCGACCATACAATGTGGTTAGCCGTATGAAAACGTGCTGATAATTCAAAAACTATATTTCTCTATCCTTTCGCACCCCCTCAGAAGAAGAAATTTGTTACACTTATCAAATCCGACCGTGTTTTAATACTTCCTCCGTTCTGTTAATATTGCAACAAGGAGGAAATTACGCATCCCAAAACACATTTTATATGCTAAATATATATAATTGTGTAAGAGTAAAAATTACAAAAAGTTGATATTGTGAAAGTATTATATGAGACGAATCCAACAAGATCTCACTTGACTATATTTTGTTTAACGTATAACTCGTATTATATGGTCAAACAAAAGTGATGAATAGTGCAAAAAGTCCATTGTTGCAATATTATTAGAACGGAGGAAGTAAGTGTTATACTTCCTTTTTTGGCAAAAAGCTACATTAAAATATTATATCTCTTCTCATGGTCCTTACCCAAACCCACTACTACTTTTTTTTATTATATTTCTCCTCTCACATTCATTACTTTTCAATAAAGTATTAACCCCACTATCTTTGTTTTACAATTTTTTAATACTCCATATACCCCACTTACCTCTTATTTTATTTAAGTCAATTAAATTGACTAAAATTATATACTGGTCAAAATCTAACACTTAAAATAACACAGAGGGAGTATCTCTTTTTATTTTTGAAGGTATTTTTCAACAGCCTCACTTTTCCTTTATTTGATACTACTTGGAATTTTCTTCTAGAATAGAAAAGATATGAAACAAAAAGATATTTTTTAATGTTAAATAAAATAGCCAACGAAATTGGGATTCTTTTTTGACAGCCTAGACCCAGATGTACTGTAACTGTCTTAATTTTCTAGAATTTGTCAAAGATAAAAGTTTGCCTTCTTTTCAAAAAAAAAAAAAAAAAAAAAAAAAAAAAAGGTTTGCCTTCTCTTTTATTCTTTTCTTTTAACGGTCTCTCTGCTTCTCCCTAACGTTAATTACTCAAGGTATTCTGATAATGACATTACTCCAAACATTCAACATTCTTAATTATTCAATCAACTTACAAGTTTGCTTACGAATCTCTTGCTTAACCATACACGTTCTTCTTCGCTGTAATTTCGACTAAACTTTGCGTTAATTTAAACTAGTAACATGACAATTTTATACCAATAATCTTCACTGTTCGTTTTAAAATTATACCCAATAACCTTTTGATTGCTGCTAACTTGTGAGTTGTGACCGCACACCAATTCTGTGATTTCCTGTGTAAAGGTGTGCGCAATTGTGTTCGCCTGCTCGCTCTATGATTAACGTGACAATTATAAAAATTACACAGTTAAGTAGTTTAGTGATTATGCTGCTAACAAAAAATCTGAATTTTACTTTTAAAAGTTAGAACTAATGAAAATACAAAATTATAGTTTGAAACAACAGTATAAAGCATCAAATTACAAATTACAGATTGTAAAAGAAATCAAAATTAAGCTAAAAAAAAATTACTACTAAAAAATTAAACTAAATTGCTAGGGTTTATAACAGGGGCGGAGCCATGTAGGAACAAGGGGGGACGGTTGTCCCCCCATTTTTCCAAAAAAAAATTTAATTTATGTTAGCTTAAATAAATGCTGTAAATAAGAATAAATACCTTACATGTATACCTTATATAACAAAGACAACATTTGGTCTGGTGGTTGATGGGCTTGAGTAAAGCTTGTATTTCTCTTTGATCCTAGGTTCAATTCTTTACCCGATCATTTTTTTTGTTTCTTTTTGCTATTTTTGGACTTTATTTTAATTTCATTTTATAGTTTATACAAAGTGCTCCTATTTAACTTCTTTTTCTTGTTTTTGGATTTTGCCATTTTTTTTTTAACTGGTTTTTAAATTTCATTATATAGTATGTAATTTATATATACAAAGTATTATAAGTCTTCAAACCTCTAATTACTCTCATTTAACTGTTTAATCAAGTATCGCCTTGTTGATAGTGATTACTAATGTGTTATTAAACTATTTGTAATGAACACATGTCTCCGTATTTTTTTATCTCTCTAATTATGTGTGCCTAAATTCTATTTTTTTTTATAGCTTGTTTGGAACTAAGTTTCCAATTTTATTTTTAGTCAAAGAAAGTTTATTTATTTATTATTATTTTTTTTTTAAAATGTAACCCAAATCCCTTTACATCTACTATCAATTTGTGTAAATGCTTATCATTTGATAAATCATATTTATCGATTATTAAGGATTACATACCTTAAAATTGGGGTTTACCAGCATAAAAAAAAAAATTTGGTTAATAAATTTCTTAATATGCAATTAATTTTTTAACAACTCCTCTTTCACCATATAAGAATAATTGTCATATCTCATAAGCGATTTCAAATATATATTAAACAATTTATGTGATCAATTTCTTTTTTCTTATAATTATTGTCGATTATTAAACATCTAAAAATTGTCCCCCCGGATTACAAATCCTGGCTCCGCCACTGGTTTATAACTCTTACAATTCACAGAAAAATAATTTAAAGAGAGAAACTCAATTGTATTGCCAATTTTCCGAAATCCGAGATCGAAAATCGAAAGAAATTCCTCTGATTATCGATCCAATGAACGAGTTACTTACAGAAAATAAGTTAATTAAGTGGTCAAAA